GACGGGCAAACTATTTCCCGTGGAAGGGGTAGCACTGGCCACCTCTTGAAGAGGCGTCCTTGCGGCCGTGCAGGAGCAGTGTGGTCGGGTGGCCCCGCATCCCCTGCGAGAGGCTGTCTAAAGGTGCTGGAGAGCTGGCTTCTGTGAAAATGCAAAAAGAAACTTCCAGCTTTGATAGAGTGGAGACAACAACAGGCTTGCTGCAAAACAGGCACGCCGCCAAGAATCGCCTCCAAAGAAAGGCAAGCGCTAGGAGCCACCTTCCCTGGTGAACAGTGCTCTGCCCCAGGGTGTTTTATGGGTATAACACAAAGTTAACCTGTAAACCCTGTGACGAGGCAGTTGTCGTGACACGAAAAGGCAGAGGGCAGTTTGGAAGGCAGCATGAGGCCTGTTGGCACGTCTGCCCCCTGCGCCGCAGCCAGGTGCAGGCGGAGCAACGCGCAGCAGCCGGTCGTTTAACACAACCGTTTCTTCATCTTCTGCTTTTCAGATCCAGCTTTTGCTCTCAAGTTTCAGATGTCTGTCATCTTACTTTCACAGAAAGCTAGCTGGGAGTGAAGAGGGGTTAAACTGTTGGTCACAGATTAGTCCGGGTCTTGCTGTCATGCCCACGGGGTGGACTCCTGCAGCCTCCTGCTTTGGGGAAGGTCTGCGCGGGAGACGTCATTGCAGGAAATGGGACTGTTCTCATGAATCTCAAACTGAACGAAAGGTGAGAAATGGGAAAAACTGGCCAGTTGTATTAATGAGCGAGTAGTGAATTGACAGAGTGATTAAATGAACAAAAATGTAAGTTTGAGTCTGTAGAATACAGGAGACTACCAAAGAGACCAGGCCACCAGACACCAGTGAAGTTCATTGCTGCTAAATGCAAGTGCTGGTTGCAAAGCAACGTACGCAGGAGAAGAACAGATGTACATGCAGCACTGTGATTTACTGCCAGCTAACTACACTGAGAAGCGATTCTTCCTTGAGTTCCCTTTTGAAAATAGAGCAACAGACCAAAAGAAAGGCAAACAATATTAAAATGACAATGAAATGAGTTAGAGGAAATAATACCACAGGAGGGGTTGGTGTGAGCTCGCCGAGTACTGTTTATGATGCGGAGCAGGAGAGCTCAGAGCTACAGGCTGCCCGTGGACAAGGAGCCCAGGAGAGTAAATAGATGAGATTTTAGCAATTTGGAAGGGGGATGATTAAGAAGAGAGTTTTGTTGCCATGGTGGTTCATAGGCATAAGCAAGGCAAGATTTGTAGTGAGGGTTGGCATATATTTTATTACCCCAAGGATAACTGGAAAAAGTAAACTTGTTTTCACATAAGCAAGTGCTTTTCCTGGTAAAAATACAAAAATCAAAGCTAAATACAAGTTGAGAAATGAGTTTAATAAAGGACAAAATGTGTCTTTGGGTGGCAAGAGCAATGCCAGCCAAATCCAGGAGCAAGAGCTTGAGCTCAGGACAGGCTTCCCTGGGCTGGGATCCCGAACCACACCGGCACTGGTCCCGCTAGCTGCTGGGGTGTGAGCTGGAGGCCTGCTGGCTGGGGGGACGCGGTCGTGCATTTCCACACCTGGAGGGGCAGCACGGAGGTTAGAGTCAGTCCCTGCGCAATGCCTGAGTGTTTCCTAGACCTCTTTCTTCAGACCCTTAGGACTGAATTCACAATTGCTCAAAACCTTGGGACAAGCTCATTCAGCGGCACCCCCAGCCCGAGCTCCCAAATCTTTGTAGCAGTGGAAGTGTGCATCCTTTTCTTCAGCAGCACGGGGTGAGTCTCGCTGAGCTCAGCTCTGCTGAAGGTTTCTCTGGGGTCTCTTGGCAGGGGGGAGCAGCAACAGCCCTGTGTGCCTCATTCCCACCCATGCATTGAGATAAAGCCCCTTTGCCCAACCCCACTGTCCAGGCTGGGGAGGGGTGACTGGGCGCCCCATTTTGTTCGCAAGCACTAAACCAAGAAGGTGCTGGGCAGCACAGAGCTGGGCTCGGAGATGAGCTGCATTTGGGACAGGTCATGGCACATGAAGGGTTGTCCCTGACAACCCTGCAGACCCCAGTGGGGCTTCACTACCAGTTCCAGGAGCAAATGAATCTTCTCCCAAACATAACTGACCCCTTGCAAGCCAGCAGCGTCTGAACTCAGAGCAGGCTCAGGGGAGGCCCTGAACCCCAACAGCCGTGCGAGGCCTGGGCAGGTGGCTGCTTTTGATAATAAAATAAACAAACAAAACCCCCACAAACAAAAAAAAAAAAAATCCTCTTTTCTGTGTGCATGTCACACTGTCATGGTGGTTTACGATTGACCAGAAACTTTCAAGGTCACAGCATAAATAGCAGCAGGATGTTCAGCTGCAGCGGTGTGGCCAGGGCAGGAGGCCGCCAAGCAGCCAGCCCTGCGGCGGGGGCACAGCAGGAAGCGCGGGGGGACGGTGACGCAGAGCCGGGCCATGAGCACCAGCACGGTGTGGCCAGTCCCAGCCCAGGATGCAGCACAGAAGCTGCTGAGAGCAAACCCCAAGGCTTTCCTTGGAAATTGCTGCCTGAGCCAAACGGTGTTTGCTTTGAAAAGTGAAATATCCACATGCATTTTGGGAAATGGCCACTGTCCCACGCTGGGGCAGCAGCTGCTGGCACTTGGCTGGGTGGAGGCTGGTGCGGGATAGGAACTGGGATGAGGATGAGGGTGTAGGACCGGGGCTGGAGCTGGGGATGAGGATGGGACTGATATGGAGCTGGGGCTGTGGCTGTTCCCACAATAACCCAGCCAGGCGCAGGCAGGGCTGGGCTCGAGCAGTGCTGTGCTGGGGAGGCACCCGCGCATGGCTGTGGAGCCCCAGGGCGGGCGCTGCACCCCATCCAGAGGACAGCGTGTGGCCCTGGTGCTGCGGGGAGCAGCTCTGGGCAGCTGCTGCTGCGCCGAGGAGCCATCCTGGGACCCACCCCGTGGTTTGTCCCGGCTGGGGACGGCACTTGTCCAGCTTCAACCTCCGTGTCCTGGAGTTGGCTCTGCTCCTGCGCTCACACACTGCCCATGCCTCCCTCTTACCTCTCCCCAAATCCCATGTGATGACCATAGTACCCTGAGTCGCCCCAGGGATTTTCCTTGGGCCTTGTGCCCCGTACCGGGGCCCCCTGAGGGGCACAGCTGAGCAACTTGCTGGCTGAGCGAAAAGAGAAAACCCT